TTCCATATTTTAAGAGTTTTGAGTAAAAGTCTTCTATAGATTCACCCTCCTGAGCTAATGATCTATAAACTAAATTGCACTTTTCACTTATTACTGTAGGATATTCATTTCTGAGCCAATATAATGCTTGACCAATCCAAATGTCACCAAATACTATAAGATTAGCATTATCTGCATTAACAGTATTGGCAGGTCTATCTGATAGACATCCTCCAGCTAAGCACCAATCTTCAGTAAAAGCTTCAGCTGGAATCATGAAAACACCTACGGTTACTGCATTATTACCAGCAGTATTTGCATAGTCATAGACAATTGAAGGATTTCTAAAGCTATTACTAGTATTTATCTGTGCTATAGTACGTCCCTGAAGAGCACCCATACCAGCCTGGTCATGATTTGCAAAAATATTGTGAAGTTCCTATCGTTTACCAAGAATTTTTTGATTAAACTATTCAATGCTCGCCTATGTAGACATTCTCTAAGAATACCAAATGCTTGATCCTGATTGGCAACTGGGTCTATACCAGTGCCAGCTAAATATGATGATAATCGACTAATAAAAATATCAATATCCTCATCATATTCATCTGAAAAATTTGGTAGTGGAAGTAGTTGTAATGCTATATTTGCTTGTATATTTATAGGTAAATTATTCTGTAGTGTAAAAATTTGTTGATTTAAATTCAAAATTAATTGCTCGGAATTTCGTGCCCAAGTTTTCCACTTACCCCACTTGTTGTTCAGTTGAACATTTGCAAGTAATAGATTATTTTCTAGAGTCTTGTATTTATTTTTCCACTTATTGTATCGATTTGTTGTAAGATTTAAGAGATGTGTAGTAATTGGCCCATTCGTTTTATAATCTTGTAGTTGCTGGCTGTTTTGCTAGGCTTGAATCTGAAATTGTCTATTTAAAAGGCATAATACAAATTTTTCTTGGAGTAGCTCTGATATACGCTTATTTTTTTCTATACAAGTTGCTTTTAATAAGTGATAATTA